GAGATCAATGAAAGAACGCTCAGGAGCATTGTCAGACCTAACAGATTTGACTCTAGTATTATATTGGTTTTCAATCATTGTTAAAAAATTTGGAAACACAAACAAGACATCAGATTTTAATTTCATCAGATAAACCCAAGTTGCTCGACTATGATCATCAACAATAGTTAAAAAGTATCTAAAACCTTCAGATGTGGGAACAGAGAATGGTCCCCAAACATCAATATGCAAGAGATCAAATGGAGCAACACTCGTTGTATTAGAGATTGGAAACATCAAACGTTTTTGTTTAGCTAAATGACAAACATGACAATGGTGTTTTTCTTTTGATTTTGTATTTTTCAAATGTAAAAGACTAGACAATGAATCAACTTTAGTAAAAGCAGGATGACCTAGACGCACATGCCAAGTTTCAACATCAACAATGACAGAACAAGCTAGTGTATTACCTGTAAATTTATGAGCAGAAACTAAAGAACCAGACTCCAAGACATATATATTTGAGATGCGTCTACCCTTGCCAATCATCAATTCCCGTGTAAGATCATGTATTAAGCAAGAAGTGGAAGTAAAACTAATCATTGAGTCAACTTCAGATGTGAAAGCACTAACACTTAACAAATTGAATCGAAAAGCAGGAACAAACAAAACATTTTTCAAGATCACATTATCACTTAAGCAAACAGAACCTATACCAACAATGCTCTCTGATCTACCAGAAGGAAGAGTGACAAAAGTGTCGGAAAGAGATGTTAGTTGAGTGAAAAGTGAAGAGGAATGTGATACGTGATGAGTTGCGCCTGAATCGATTATCCATGAGTCATCAGGGACTAAAGCATCTCCAAAGGAAAGCACAAAAGACATGCAAAAAGGAGTAGGTTGATAAAGAGAAAGGAATGTACCAGACTCATGCGGAGTTAGTGATACGGCTGAAGTGGAAGCAACGAAACTTTCTGGTGAAGGATTATGTGGTGTAACGCTGTTTTTGTTGAGTTGAGTGCTGAAGAAGGCAATGAACTGTTGCATTTGATCAGGAGTGAGATCAATAGGAGAAGTTGCAGACTGCTGAGGCTTAGAAACGTCTTCAGGATTATCAGAAATAGCAACCATGTTTGCAGAGGCAGGCTGTTGTGGCTTTTGAAACTTTGATTTCGATTTAAAACCAGGAGGAAAACCGTGTTTCTTGTAGCACCTGTCCACAATATGCCCAAACGCACCACAATGAGTACATACCGGTCTGCCTTTCTGATAGTGAGAGTTTCCTTGATTGCCTGAGACTTGAAAAGCCGACACATCAACACCACTAGAGGGTGAAATACGAGCAGAACGTTGAGAATCTTCATTGTTCAAGATGTTGTAAACTTCAGAAATAGATGGCAATGTCTTCTTCATGTGAATTTGACTTCTAACATGATCATAGCTTTCATTAAGCCCCATAAGAAAGTCAATAACACGATTTGTTTCCCTCTAAGCCAGTAACTCTTCAACTGTAGTTGCAGGAGCTTGAATGTTGGACAATTCCTCCCAATATGTCTGTGTCTGAGTATGATAAGAGGATAAATCCATAGTGCCTTGACGCAAAGAGAGTAACTGGTGACGGAGCTTGTACAATCTAGGAAGATTAGACTTGTGGAAACGAGTGTGAAGATCTTTCCACATATCCGCAGCCATAGAAAAATATAGGATGCTAGTGTAGATCTTCTTGGTGACACTGTTAAGTAACCAAGACTTCACCATACTATTGATCCTACACCAGATCTTGAAATATGGATCTGTGGTTTCTGGCTTAGGGATGGATCCATCTACAAATCCTAGTTTGTTCTTAGCTTCTAGACTAGTAGTCATCGCAACAATCCAAGTACCATAGTTTGTTCCATCAAGTTGTTCCGATACTAATACTAATCCAGGATGATCCGAGTTAAGCAGATGATATGGACTATGAAGATTATCAGGAGAATCTGATACCTCAAATAAACGAGACGAAATCGGAGCTGAATTGAGAGGACGATGAGTTGCAGCGCGACGAGAAGAACCAGAGCCTTCTTGAGAGAGATCAGCGTTGCGATCATTATCGCGAGGGAGAGAGATGTTATCCTCAGTGTGAGACGGAGATGATGTACGATACTTCGAGTTACACCTTCGTTTACCCATGGATAATCAATTGAAGCTTCGATTTGAAGGTAATCGGGGCCGGAGAGAACTGATCGGAGCTATGTGGAATAAGAGAGCGTGAAATCTCGATGTTGATGACGATGTGATGGAGAGAATATGTGATGAAGGCGGAAGCGATGGAGATTCCAGAGATCAGAGTGAAAGAATGCGGAAGAGAATCGATGAGAGTGATCGGAGAAGATGATCGGAGTTAAAAACGCCGGTGAATGAAGAAGATGCGGTTACGGTTACGGTGGAGCGTGTCGCTCACCGCTCTGATACCATAATAGATGAAATGGGAAATATCTTCATTAACTGTAACAGAATGTACAAGTATTCTTTATATACACATCATTAGATTAAGCTAACTAATCTAACTAACCATGATTAACTTATGACTAACTATATACACACTCTATTAAACTCTTGCAATGGTAGTCTTACCAATTCCTGAGGAGCCCCATATCCCAACCATCCTCACTTCCTCAGATTATAAATGCAATAAGACACTCATATTTTCAATATGATCTTCCATTCCAACAAACTCCTCAAAGTCCTTCGATGGAGATAAATTCAGTTTACCCAAGATATCATTAGCAATTGCTTCAATCATTTTTGCTTCATGAGGCCTAACAAGATGAAACATCATTTAAAAACACATGAAACAGTTTATCAATTGTAAGATGTCAATGTCTTCTAGAAAATCAGTGTTCTAAAAATTGGTCGAGACTGCATAATGCTCGTCTCCACGACAATTTGGTCTTAGCGGAAACATTTTTTTTTTTAATATCTGATTTAAATGGCTCAAATCAATACTAATCGTTCTAAATCTTCCTACATCAGTCAAAGTCATTTTAAATCGATATAAAATGATATAAATATATCTAAATAAAATAACACAAAATATATTGTATGATTAATTTAATTATTTTATTTTTACCATCAATTGTAAGTACCTATGGGTTTGATTGTAACTGTTATCCAATATTTTTAAAAAATCTTTAATTAAATATTAGTGGAAAATACGTGTTACAACATTAGTGGAAAATAATATGTGGTGATAGAGTGATTGGAGGTGGAGTTGATAACCTAACCGCATGTGACTTCAAATCTATCTTCTTCACCATAAAATTCCGTCGACAAAAAAATGGTGGTATCGTACATACAAATGTGAGATGAGATCTATTCATCTTCCTCAATTCTATCTAATTATCTTGAGAGGTGAGAGGAATACAATGTGGCCATAAATTTTACTTTTTACATTAATTGATTAATTCTTTAATTGTTTTGGCAGTAGTTGAATATGGGACAATATAGCAATATTATGTATAAGAGGATATTGTATAGGTGGTGTAGAGTTTTTGGATAAGCATTGAATTATAATTTGTTTGAAGATTATACAATGCAATTTCTCTTAAATTAATTAATTATCCCCAAACTACCTTTTATTTTTGCATTTATATAAGGACTTGGTTAATGTTATCAACTAATAAGTATAATATTCTATTAGCATTGACGTGAATTTTTCAATGCATTTACTAACATATTTAGAAAGCAAAGTCGAAATAGTAAAATTAATCATTCACAATCGACGACAATCAATCAGTTTCCAATTAAGCTTCAACTTTAAAGAGAAAGTATAATTCACTCTTACGCTTGAGTTTCATATATCTGTCTCCATAAACTAAGTCTCATCTTTGAAGTACTCTCCCTTCAGCCTCCTTCTCTTCTGGCGATGTTTGTGTTCATCTTCAACAGAATCTCCCTTCTCAAGACATGAGTCTTCAACCGCGGCTTTCTTATCTACCAAGTTTTCCACAGACGAAGATTGTTGATAATCAAGATCAAAACACACACACATGGATGAAACACACATGGATGGAAATGTTCTACACCCAAACCAAGCTCTTAGACCAATCCAAAAAGCTCAAAAACTTGTGCTTAGAATTCTCCAACAGTTATGCAAGGCCTATCAACTACCTCCCCAACTGAACATAAAGTGCATGTATTTTACATTCTTTGAAATTAGCTTATGGAAATTTGGTATCTAGATATTGATTCAATCTACTCTAGTCTACTCAAAGGTGGTTATTGGAATCATAATTTGTAAGAATTTTAATGATTTTAAAGGTTGACAGATCTTTAGAAATTAAGTAGAGTTAACAAATATTTTCTAAATGTCTATCAAATGTTTTGGATTGGTTTCTATAGATTTTTATTGATTATTTTGGATTTGCATTTTAAAATCCTAGAAATACTTCTTAGTAAAAAAGGATAGTATTTTTGCAATACAATAAAAATGACCTTTAATGTAACTACGGAATCAAAATTAAGAAAAAATAAAACAAAATAAATGATCTTAAGTTAATTCTCTATATGATTATAATGTATGATGTTGTGGAATTTTTTTATTTAAAATATTTTTATATATTTATGTTATTTTAAACTCTGTTGAAAACTATACATTCAATTAGGTGTTATAATCATTTTTATAACAAAAATCACATCCACAAATCCTCCCAAAAAAACTTAAATTCACAAACTAATCAAAATCACCTTGTATTTTCATTTTCTACCCTTTTTTTATAAAAAGTCAATTTTTTTTTTGTATTGTGAACATAAGGAGTATATTTTTTTAATCAAAAAACATAAGGAGTATATATATATATTCTTCTTTTGAGTACTTAACAGAAATATAAACTTCTAGTGTTACAAAAAACAAAACAAAAAATATCTAGACTTCGAATTTAATATTCGAGTTGAAAATGGACCAACAGAAAGCCTATCAATTAAGCGTCAACATATTTGTTTTTTTGGGACATTAGTATCATTTTCTTTTAGTTCTCAACTCTCATTTTCCGATTTCAATTTCTCATCCTGAACCCCTCAAAGATGGATTCGATACCAAAGAAGCGACCCAAATCCGAAACCAAAACCCCAAAACGGAACCCTAAATCTTCCCCTTCTCCAATCACATCACTACTCGAGCCACCACAAAGCTTCTTCCCTTCAAAAGAAGAATTCATTAAACTCCTCACCGTGTTGCTCATCGCTTGTGCAGTAGCTTTCACCTGCAGTTTCCTCTCTAAGCATCTGAACTCAGACCCAAAAAAATTCTGCGACAGTAACTCAGATTCCATCGAATCGGACTTGGGTAAAGCTCAAAATTCATAAAGTTTTTGTCTTTCTTCATGGTTAACGCTTTCTAAACTTATTTTCGTTGTCACAGATTCGTGTGAACCATGTCCAGTTAATGGGGAATGTCACCAAGGGAAGTTGCAATGTAATAATGGATACAGAAAGCATGTGACTTTATGCTTAGAAGATGGAGCAATCAATGAATCAACTAAGAAATTGGTAACATTTAAGAAAATAAAATAACTTTAAGAAATTTGTATATTAAGTTATTATAATTTGTGTCAGTGTTGTTGATTATTACAATTTTTTAATCTGGTTGTGTTGTTGTTGATCAGGTTAGGCATTTCGAGAGAAAAGTTTGTGAGGCATATGCTCATAATGAATGCTATGGTGCTGGGACCATTTGGGTATGTCTTTAACTGTTGTGTCTAACGAGTGTGTTTAGTTTGTGGTAATAGTGAGCATTGCACTGAGCTGTTTTCATTTATGTTTTAGGTTCCGGAGAATAATGTTTGGAAAGATCTACGTGGCAACGGTTTAGTGGATAACTTAGACGAGTCTGCTTACGATTTTGTGAAAGCAAAGGCAGTAGAAGCTGTGGCAGAGTTGTTAGAGAAACGGACTAATGCTAATGGGTTAGTGTTTTCATCATTGACTAGGACTTAACTCTTGAAGTTCCCTCGTTGCTGAAGATTTTGTTACTTTGTATTTCTGTTGATATGAAGGATCAATGAGTTGAAGTGTCCTGAATCGCTAATGGAAAGTTATAAGCCTTTGACTTGCAGCATACAACAATGGCTGTTACGGCACATTGTTATTGTTTCGTCCTCCTGTGCAATGGTAATTTATTGGTAGAAAAATAACTTGTCTTTGAGTAGTTTAGTGTACTTGATCAACATCTTCAAGCTTGTTCACAGTGTTGAGATGTACAGCTTGTGTCATGCGCAATGTTGCTTAGGAAAATCCAGCGGAAGCGACACTTTTCAAGTAGAGTTGAAGAACTATACGACCAGGTACACCTAAGGAATCTCGATTAAACAGTTATCATTTGTCTGTGTCTAAATACAACAAACCCCTGTCTTTGTTTTGAATTTGATACATTAGGTATGTGACTTCCTGGAAGAGAATGCAGTGACATCAAACTCTACAGACAGTAACTGCGAGCCATGGGTTATCGCATCACGGTTGCGTGATCATCTTCTTTTGCCTAGAGAAAGAAGAGATCCTCTCTTGTGGACTAAGGTATGCTGTTTTTGTCTCTTGCTCTAATCATGTTCCTTAGTCTCTACCATGTTTATAACCGAATCTCATTGTTTATATTCATATTGTTGGTTGATTTATTTAAAGGTTGAGGAGTTGATACAAGAGGATTCACGTATAGATAGGTATCCAAAAATTATAAAGGGTGAACAAAAGGTTGTATGGGAATGGCAAGGTATGACATCAGCATAGTTTTTTCTAATCCTCTTTTCACTCGTCGATTTGTATTCATAGAAAGTTGTTTTCTAATCAATGAATGATTTCAGTTGAAGGTTCAATTAGCTTATCGAAGCTAAAGAAACGGCGAGAGATGCAGAAGAAAGTTAAACAAACCAATGACTCGAACACAATCTTGCAAGATAACTACAACAGAAGAATCGCAGAGACTAGCTCTTAGCACATACATTTAGGACAGAGACCAATATAGAAGCTTGTCGGTGCTTGCTTCTTCAGGTAAATGGTAAAAAGATCCAAGAATGCAGTGATTGTTGATCTTTCCTTTCTGTTCCTGGTTAATGGTTGAAATTTGTAATAGATGAAGGAGAATAGTTAGTGTCTGTTGACTTGAGGAACCTGGTTTGGATTGGAATTGCATTGGTACGGTTACCACGGTACAATTCCGGTTTAAGTTGACTGAGACTTTTAAAAAGTCTTGTCTTGTAAAAAGAGAGAATCAAAACGAAAGAAGAAAGAATTTGATTTTACATAGATATACTTGGGTTTACGAAGTGGTATTACTTTTGGAACACAGTACAATAGTAGTAGCCTTTTGGTTTTCCCCGTACGAAGAGTGTGTCACATCATCGTTTACAGAGAGACTCCTTAGTTCCCAAGATTACCTTCCCAACGAAGTTTTACGTCCCTTGTCTTCTTTATTCATGCTTTTATTATTCTTTTATGTTCATGAGAATGACTGAAACTGTAATTGATGAAGAAGAGTGACATGAATGCCTAGGGCTGGACATAATACCAGAAGTATTTACCCAAATCGGACTGAAAATAGGGTATCTGACTTGGTTGGATCTTGCTTAAATATCTGAACTGTACTATTTTTCAAAAACTCAAAGAACCGAATTCGTACCGAAAACCGAAAGAGTATCCAAAAATATCTCTATATATATATATATATATATATATATATATATATATTGTTTTAAATTATATTTATAATAGTATTAATACCTAAAATTAAAATTATAAATCAAACATATTAGTTATTTTAGGTATTTATAGATAAAAATAGATGTTTTGGATAAAAATACTTAAATAACATTATATGTATGGTTATTTTCCGACAAGAAAAGTAACCAATTGGAACTATATAAATTGTGTATTTTCAAATTTTTAAGTTATCTACTCTATTAAAATAGAGTTTTTTTTTTATCTATTTATACAAGTTGTCATTTAAATTTGGACCCTTTCTAGAATGTTACAAAATAATATAAGTCATATAATTGATTGAACCGTATTACTTAAATTAAACCAACACAATTAATGCAAAGAGACGACCTTAATGTAAATTACCTTCAAAATACGACAGGTATCTATGTGTATACCGAAAACACATATTTTCTCCTACAAATATGGAATGTTCTAAATTAATATATATATCATCAAAATATAGAATATGAAAATCTACTAATTATACTTAAATTAAACCAGTGGTTATTTATGGAATATAGTCTTGGGCTTACTTTTATTTTCTGAACAAATTATATAGTTTGGTTTTTGGGCTTAGTATTAAGAAAAAAACTCTAAAAAATTGAATAAACTTTTCACCTTAAAAGATAAAAAAATCAATTATTATTTTCAGACCCAAAAGGTATTTAATATTTTTAACAAAACAAAATATCTATTATTAATCGTTTATTTAAATCATATATTTTAAAACATGTTAATATATTTTTTATTCTAAATAACAATCACTTTGTTTTGATAAATTTCTATGGTAACTTTTAAATAATTTATTGTTTTATTTTTCTTAAATAATTTACTGATTAAAAAAATGTAAAGCAAAACCAAAAACCAAATCTAAAAACTAAAATCCAAAACCAAAAGCTGAAAACACATGTTATATTTTTTTCCTTTGTTTATTTACAAAATAAACTATTTCAATTTTTTTTTTAATTTGTTGTCATCTTTTCAGTTTTGAATTAGATGTTCGATTATTTGAGATTTGTTTGTTGGTAATATTAGTTCAAACTAACTCAGCGGATTTAAAAATTAAAAACCCAAACCAAAAACTGAAAATGAAAAGTAGAAACTTAAAAACTAAAAACCAAAATCTAAAAATAAAAACTGAAACTAAAAACTAATGAAAAATAATCATCACCACAAATTTTGGTGAATTGATTCTATATCAAAAATATTCTTTAAACTAAGACAAAACCCAATTATATAAATTTTTAATCATAAAAAATTTATGCGCTTTCAAGCGCGGGTCAAAATCTAGTTTTAGATAAGTTTAAGTAGTTTGGATATAAAACATCCGACTCGAACCCGGCCCGTCTTTTTGTAATATCCGAATGAGACCATTTTTCAAAATCTAAAAAAATCGTTATCCGAATAGATAATATTCATACCTGATAGGGTATCCGAAAGCCCAGGCCTATGAGGGCTTTTGTTTGGAATTGGATTGGTGCTGTACAATTCCAGTTTTGTTCATACCGATAGAAGTTGACTGTGACCTAGTAAAGGAATATGTACACATTTAAAAAGAGAGAAAAATAAACAAAAGAAGAAATAAATGAGTTTATACTTGGAATTAGGAAGAGGGCATTACTTTTGCTGGTTAATCGGTAACAAACTTTACTAGAAACCAATCAAGTTTAAGTCTTTTGGTTTTCCCGTACGAAGAGTGTGTCCCATCATCGTTTCGTCTACAGAGAAACTCCTTAGTTTCCAAGTTTACCTTCCCCATGAAGTTTCCTTCCCCTTCTCTTCTTTAAAAGCTTCACCCCACGCGCATTGAGAAACCAAACAACAAAGAGAGAGAGAACACAAAAATGGCAGAAGCAGCAAAGCAACACATTGATCGGATTAGGAAGACTAAGTTTTCTATCGGCGGTGATGAGAATCCTTTGACGGAGGATCTTCATCAGGCTGTGAAGAACCTCTCTGCTGAACTCTACGCCAAGGATGTTCACTTCCTCATGGAGCTTATCCAAGTAAGTTTACTCTCTTTCTCTTTAATGTACTTTCCTCTCTGTTTCTCTGTGTATTTTGTGTTAGATTGTGTGTTCCGGCTTGTCTATGTTAGTGAGATATTTTTCTGTACAGTTTTGGTTAAAATATGTGTATGGAAAATCTGATGTTGAGTGTGTGTGCTATAAGAAAGTAATGACTTTACATGAAAAAATGTTGAACCTAAACCAAAACCGAAACTCACGTGTTTCACATGTTTTGAGGCCTTGGTTTCTTCTATGCAATCAGAATCATGTTTGCTCTTTTTTTTTTTCACACGCACACATGTACATAAACCCAATTAACGTAATTAGTTTTGACTTTTCCTGGATAATATAAATACAACAGTGTTCATTAAAATGATTATTTAGTCTATACAGGAAACATGTTTCTGGATGTTTTTTTTTTTGCTTTGAATAAGATATTAAATCTGTGTTTTGTATACTAGAAAGATCAGCAAAGTATCAAACTTTTGTTTTTCTTTCTACAGATATGCTATAATGCTAGACATTAATTTTAATGTTTTTTTTGTTGCAGAACGCAGAGGATAATGAGTACCCTGAAGGTGTAGATCCTTGTCTCGAATTTGTTATCACCTCTGAGGACATCACAGCCACTGGAGCTCCAGCAACTCTACTCATCTTCAACAACGAGAAGGGTTTTGCTGAGAAGAACATTGAGTCCATATGCAGTGTTGGAAGGTCCACCAAAAAGGGAAACCGAAAACGTGGTTACATTGGAGAGAAAGGTATTATTAATTTATTATCCTTTGTCTTTTACTATAATTAACCTTAAAAGACAAGACACTTGTTCTCACATAACATGTTGTTCTCTTTTCCAATTCCAATTTGGTGGCAGGAATCGGTTTCAAGAGTGTGTTTCTGATTACTTCTCGTCCTTACATCTTCAGCAAAGGCTACCAAATCCGTTTTAACGAGGATCCTTGCAGTTTCTGCAACCTTGGCTACATTGTACCTGAATGGGTCGACCAGCATCCTTCTCCTGCCGACATACAAAGAATCTACGGCTCAGGCTCTGCTCTACCAACCACAACAATCATCTTACCCTTAAAAAGTGACAAAGTCAAGCCGGTCAAAGAACAGCTCTCTAGTGTCCACCCTGAAGTCCTCCTGTTCCTCTCCAAGATCAAACGTCTCTCCATCAGAGAACACTGCCAAAACCCAAACCTCACCACAGTAAACTCCATCGGTATCCTAAGCGAGACTGACTTCATGACTAGGAAGAGCATTGACGCTGAGTCTTACACCATCCATCTCTCCGCTAGTGAAACCAACTCCGAGAAACAATGCAGCTACTACATGTGGAGGCAAAAGTTCCCAGTGAAAATGGAGAATCGTGTTGAAAGAAGATCAGAAGTTGAAGATTGGGTGATCACTTTAGCGTTTCCTTTTGGAGAGCGTCTTGGCCGTGGTGACAGCTCTCCTGGTATCTACGCCTTTCTCCCTACAGAGATGGTTACGAACTTACCTTTCATCATACAAGCGGACTTCATCTTAGCATCCTCAAGAGAAACTATTCTACTTGATGATATATGGAACCAAGGGATTCTCAACTGTGTTCCCTCAGCTTTTGTGAATGCGTTTACTTCGTTGGTGAAGAAGACTGATGCTCCGGTGTCAAGCTTGCTTCCTGCTTTCAACTTCTTGCCTGTGAAGCAATCTAGTTACGCGAAGCTGAACGTGGTTAGAGAATCTATCAGGGCTAAGGTCTCTGCTGAGGAGATTGTACCAAGCGTCTCGCATTTAGGACAGAAGTTTTTCCATAGACCGTGTGAAGTTGGTCGTCTTGTTCCTGCCTTTTGGAACATCTTGGAGAAGGCAAGAGGAGAGAAGGCGAGTTTGAACAATATCTCGTCTCATGGGATCTATGTTTTGGATTCTTCTTTTGACAGAGCTGAGAATGACGATGTTCTTGACTTCTTGGGTTTGAAGCAAGTCAGCAACGAGTGGTATGCTAAATGCATACAGGGATGCGATCTGGTGAGGAGTGTGTCGGAAGATACGTACGTGTGGGTTCTTCTTTTCTTGGCTGAGAATTGGCAGACAATGTTTCAAGGGACAAACATGGTGAAAGTTCCGCTTATTAAGTATGTTGTCAGAAAAGGAGTGACTTCTCTTAGCAGTGTGGCTGACTTCAGTCCTAAAACACTATGTTTCCCAACTCCGAAGAACCAGGATTGGTTTCTTGACTGGAGTGATGAGTTCAGATGCATGTCCAAGTTTGTTTTCATGCCTCAGACAACATTGTTAGTGTTGAAAGCTTGTTCCAAGAAGGAGACAGTGCTCAATTGGCTTAAAGAGAAGATAAAAGTCACCACTCTTAGCTTCTCAGATTACACAAAACGTCTCCTGGAGAATCTTAATGGAGATAAGAGACTGGTTCTTGCGTATGCACACTTTCTACATCACTCAATCTCCAAGGGATTTCTATCAGAGGACGAGGGTTACAAGTGTTGCAAAGACATGCCGCTTGTGGACAACTATGGTAACGTCAACACTAGCAGAACCGGTGTTCTTGTTCCCGCTAGCCAAGGTAAATGGATAAGCTTAACCGGTTCAAATCCATGGAGACAAGACGGATACATTGAGCTTTGGGAAGAGTATCTGTCTTCTGTTAGATTCGCTGGTGTTCTGTCTACTCACAAAGCGCTTCTGCCCTTCTTGAAATCTTATGCTAGAGCTGGAGATGTACCTGAGATAACACCACCAAACGCAGCTATACCTGCCTTATCTGGTGCTCTAAAGAAGGAGAATGCTTTGCTGCTCTTGAAGTGGATACAGTGTAATAGATACTCTCTCCCAAGAAAGTTTATGGACTCTGTTAAAGGAGGGAGCTGGTTGAGAACTACAATGAATGGTTCCTCTGACTATAAACCACCTTCTCAGTCTTTTTACCATACTTCATCATGTGATCTCACTATTCTCCAAACCGGATCAATCCTTGTTGACATCCCACTTGTTGATGTAAACTTCTACGGCAGAGAGATTGAGAAGTTCACAGAAGAGCTGAAGATTGCTGGCGTCATGACTGAGTTCAGCCAAGCGTGTGAGTTTGTTGGTGACCACCTCATGCGTTTAGCTGAGACATCAACCTTGTCAAGAGAGAATGTGTTCTCTATTCTTAATTTCATCAGGTACTTGAGAGAGAAGAGACTCCCGCCAAATGATTTCATTGGAGCTGTTGAAAACGGAGCTTGGCTTAAGACAAGTAACGGTTATAGATCTCCAGATGGTGCTGTTCTGTTCAGTCCAGAGTGGAAAGCTGCTTCACTGATCAGTGATATACCGTTCATTGACAAGGATTGCTATGGTGAAGCTAAACTTAAAGGGTTTGAGAAAGAGCTTGAGTTGCTAGGCGTTGTGGTTAAGTTTCCTGGTAATCACAGCCTTATTGTTTCTCACTTGAATGCTTCAAAGCTGAGTTATCTCACAGCAGAAGCAATGCTCTTAGTACTTGACTGCATGCGCTGTCTCAGTCCTCGGAAGCTTACCAATCCCTTAAGAAGTTCTCAATGTTTCAAGACCAAGAATGGCTACAAGACTCCTGCTGAATGCTTCATACCTGATCCGGAGTGGAGCTGTCTCGTCTCAGTCTTTGATAACTTCCCTTTGATCGATGAGAGTTTCTACGGAAGCAAAATCTTTTCCTACAAGGAGGAGCTGAAGCAGATTGGTGTTGTGGTTAACCTTGATGAAGCTGTGAACGGGTTTGTTCGGACATTCAAGCAGAAAGCTACTTCATCCTCTTGTCTAAACCGAGACACATCCATGTCTCTTCTGTCCTGCTACAAGAAACTGATGGAAAGCAGTCATAAGTTTCCTGAAGAGCTGATGAGAAGCTTCAAAGAGTTACAATGGCTACACACAACACTCGGTGACTTCCGTGCTCCTAAAGACTGCATTCTCTTTGAACAAGACTGGGAACATCTCCGGCTCATAGCAAACCTCCCTTTCATCGATGACAGCTCAAACTGGTACGGCAAAAGCATATATGGTTACAAGAACGATCTAAAGAGCTTGGGAGTTACAGTTGAGATGAGACAAGGTATGAGCCATGTTGTTAACTCCTTAAGCCTCCCTGATCCATCTCGCATCACTTCTTCTAGTGTCATCTCTCTTCTTAAGTGTGTTACCTTCTTGCTTGAGGAGAGGTTTGGTAAACTCCCTAAAGAGTTTCTTGATAAGGTTTCTTCTGTCAAGTGGTTGAAGACACATGCTGGATACCGCTGTCCTGAAGAGTGTTTATTGTTTGATAACACATGGGAGTTGGAGCATTGTGATGGTCCTTTCATTGATGAAGAGTATTACGGTGTAGAGCTTAAGTGTTTCAAGAAAGAGCTTATTGCCATTGGAGTTGGTAACGATTCAGGCAAAGCTTCCAGGTTGCTTTCTAGCCACGTTTATAATCATTCTGACTCTGACGCAATCTCCAGGATATATAGGTTTCTCTCCAAATCCGAGTGGAGACCTGAGAGAGGTGCTTCTTCAGGAAGAATCTGGATCCCTAGCGAGTGTAAATGGGCAGATGTCTCTACCTGTGTTGTCTATGACAAAGACAAACTCTTTGGCACAAAGCTAAACGTTCTTGAAAACCATTACGATGGTCCTCTTCTTGGTTTCTTCTTATCTGCGTTTGAAGTGAGAGGAAGCCCTTCTGTGGAAGATTACTGTGCTTTGTGGAAAGATTGGGAGAGAACCAAGGAGAGAGTGTCTTACGAAGAGTGTTGTGCGTTCTGGAGATTCGTGGCTAGACACAGTTACACAACTAAAGCTGACAAGTTTCTGTCGGAATCTATCTCTCGTTTGCCTGTAAACACACCAGATTACAGCAACAGTGAAGGCATCTTGCTGTGTGATAAGAGTGATGTGTTTGTTGCTGATGATTTGCTCCTGAAGGATCTTTTCACAGAGTCCCCTGTCTTCGTGTGGTACCCATCTCCAAGCATCCCTACCTTGTCACAAACCAAACTTACAGAGATTTACAGAAAACTCGGTGTTAAAGAGATCTCCAAGTGCGTAGAGATGTCAGAAGCTAAGCTAACAGACAACGGAGACAAGACCGAGAAGATGGAGAGTAATCTGGTAGGAAGAGGGTTAGTGAGGCTCATTCTAGGGTTTCTCTCTGATCCATCTCTCAAGATAGAAGCTGAGGAACGTTCTGAGATCATACAAAGCCTTGTTTCCCTCAACGTTCTTGAAACTCAAGAGACGATCTCTACAGAGTATACACTGAACCTACCGTCGAAGGGAGAGAAGCTGGTTGCAAAAGCTAAGAGGATGATAAGGTGGGAGAGGGAGAAAGGAGTTGTGTACGCTGAGAAGATGGGGAAAGCGTGTGGGAAAAGAAAGGTTTTGGAGTATGCTACTTGTTTTTCTGAGGTGATTGCTAAAGGAGCGATGTGGCAGAGGGAAGATCTGATTGGAGAATTGTCTGAGCTTGTGAAGATGGCTTACTTGGTTGAGTTTGATGATGAGGCTTTGGAGTTTCTTATGAAGTCTAAGAACCTTCAGGTTTATGAAGAAGATGAGAAGCTCATCTCTGATGCCTACACTCTCAAGAAAACCTAAGGTAACATTTTATAAGCTTTCTACATTGGTATATTTCTTCTTGTGAATATGAAAGTTAAAAACAAATATATTTCCTTCTTTTTTCTTTTGCAGATGCCTTCTATAACAAGCAAACCCAGGGACCGACCTATATGTTCTATCTATTTCGTTTGAATGCGTGTGTTTTGGTATTCTGCATCTTTTGTAAAACCTTCTCATGACTTTTCTACTAAGTTCTATAAAATATTTTGGTATCTCGATTACTATTTTTTTTTTTTTTTGAACAACTCTCGATTACTATTTAAAGTGAAATATTCAAGTATTTTTCTTACCAATATTAATCAATCATATTTTGCCCTCATGTGTTCCTCAACGCCTGGATGCTTACATCGAAAGCTACTAGCTTGAGCTTAAGTAATCCCAATCAAAAATGGATCAGTTAATTTTACTAGCTCTCAGTGTGATGTGTTGATTCGTAGCTTATTCTTCTTCTCTTTACGTCTTAGTTTGCAAGTTGGTTCGGTGCATATAGTATACACTGAAGAACTTATTGACCATTTTGTTTGCGACACGCCCTTGATCTTGGCTTTTTAGTTTTTCTTTTCTTTTATCCGGCAACTTTGGTAAAGTAAGTTATACCCTACATTTATAAGTTATACAGTTTAGACCATATATTTACAAATTTCAAAATTTCGCCGTAATGATCAGGTTTTGAAGCTTTTTGTATCCTATCAATCTGATAATGATTCGGGAAATACAGGAATATTGTAGACTTGTATTCGTTGTGTCACGGTAAGAAAGTGAAAAGGAGAAAGAAATTTGGTGGCTCACTCAAAATGTACAATAAGTTTGTTTTGTTCCGAAAATTAATGAATTCATAATGTATTTGCATTGCATCCAGTAAATAGTCGTAGGCTCAGGCCTCGTAGGGTGCTATGTGAAGTAGTAACAGATAATAGATAACATACAAAATAAGTGTTTCCCATGTGATTTGGTAGTTGGGAAATACTTGCTGAAAAGTTAGAATACTAAATCCAACGCACTTTGTTAAACTTAAAATTTTATATCATTTTAATTAAGAATTTGTATTTTAATATATATGTTAATTTTTAGTTTTATTCAATAAAACTAAACAAAATCTATACTATTATTTGCGAAGTAATTTTTCGCAACGGAGCTCTCACGTTAAAAGTTAGAGCGGTTAATATCTATTTTACCCTTAGTAAAAAATTTTATATATAGCTAATTTTATAATTAAAAACGAAATTAAAAAAATAAAACTAGATAAGTACAGTATGTTATTATCTTAGATAATAAAGAATAATTAATATAAAAAGTTTATAAAAAAACAAAATAAGATAATTCTTATATATGTTATTATTATCTGAATATAATATTGTAACAACATGATAATGCTTATAGATCTTAATTTTATATCAAACTGCTTTTGGCTTTTAAAAATAATATCATTATATTATAAAATTTAAAAATTAAAATATAAAATCGAATTTAATTAAATATTAATCAAACAAAAAAATTTGTATAAAGATATTTTTAATTATATAATTAAATATTAGGTATTAAAAATTGGAACGGTTCAAGTTAATGATACCTTTCATGAAATTTATATATTTATATATAAATTAGTTAAAGCCAAATTTTATGTTAGTGATATAAATTTATATGTTATTATATTAGTTAATTTATTATAAACTAATAGGATAATTATCTACATTCATGCATATTTAAACATAAGATATCTTATAGAATATTATATAGTTATCTGAAAATAATATTTTTTATTGTGAAAAATAAAAATGTAAGTTATTAAACAATTAAAAATTAAATATTAAGAGAAAATATAAATACATTTTCAAAACTATTTTATTATGTGGATTTTTTCAACACTATAATAAGCATATAGATTTTGATGAAAAATCATATAAAAATATTTTAATGTTTGATTTAGGTTTTTTAAAACTATAGAAAATAACTTATAATATTATTTTAGAATTAATAGAACAAAAAATAATAAATATTCGTAAGAAAATTATGCCCGCATATGCGGGCACAACACCTAGTAATATATTAATTAGAGAAAAAAATTAAAATTATTTAATATATTTTAAAAAACTTTAAACAATATATAATAAAATAGAAAATATTTGGCTTGCATATTTTTTTTGTCCTTGCCTTGTTGGAGAAATTCCCATATGATTAGTGTATGCTTCGGTCCAAGATTCTTTTTCGTTTAAGGTCCACGTTAGCGTAATAAACTATTCTGAATATTAAGATTCAGACATGTAAGTATCACTTAGAGATCTGTTTATTATAATAAAACTCCTATTTATTCGAAAACCAGATATTATTATTATTTGTCGGTGAATGGGGTTTGTTTAAGAGTACTTTTGAGTAATGCCGAAGACTTTTTGTGTGAAAAGAATCATTTTATAACTGTACTTATTTATTTGACAAATTTCAAATTGTATTATACTAAAATACAATACATCTCTATGATATATGGAGTATAGGAAAACAAGTTGAGTGAATCGAAATAATTACATTCTATCTTCGGTAAACTTCAAAACCCAAGAAGCTAGTGGCACGTGCCCCATGACAGACATGTCATGTGATGTAATGTAACCTATTCTCTTTCTACATAGGCTCCGATTGGTAACCATCGCGTAATCGCGGAATCGCGAAAATAATAGTTAAGTTGCGGAAAAAATTAATTAAGTCGTGGAAAAATTTAAAATTTGCGGAATGACGGAATATATATTAAATTGATTAAAATATTTTATATGGTTTTTAATTTGTTATAAAAAACAACTAGTAATAATTAAACTAATTATTACAAAAGTGAAAACAACTAAAATTTATTAAAAACATTTTAGTTTTTATTATAAATATCTAACATATCTTTCAATAAATTTTAAAAATAGATTTTTTTAATATATAAATTATAATAGAACTTTATTTGCAACATAATTATTTATCATTAAAAATTATTGATATGTATTTTATATTTTAAGATAGTATTAACATATAATTTAATAATATGAAAATATTAGTTTGTAAATCTTTCCACCATAATCTACTAAAACTCACTTTTCCACTTAATAAAATTTCTCTTAATATTTTTGTCAGCAAAAACGCAAACTTGCGTTTTTGCGTTTTTTTTTCATTCCGCAACATTTTGTTGATTGGCAAAATTCTTGCGGAATCGCGTTTCATAAGCCATTCCGCCATTCCGCATGGTTACCAATCAATGCCATAGACTCATTAGCAAAAGTAAGCAAGCAGAAAAAAAAAAGAAGCAACATTGCGAAAAACAAAGAGTAAGGTAAACAAGAGTGACACAAACCAAATCATCTTGACATTTTTATCTCATGGATCAATAAAAACCAATCAAACAATTATAGTTTCGCCATTGTTAGGCACAAAAAATTATTGACCATGTAGCTACTATTTGCATTATTTACGGGATTAGATGACTATAAGTCTATAACATGCCTACATTTAGTTCCAACTAAAACACGAAGATTTATTTACAACTAAAACCTGTCTTTTTGGTTTGTTTATTTTTCAAATAATTTGTATGTTTTATGTTTACATAAATTTAAGAAAAAAGAAACTAAAAAAGAAAAAACTATAAGATTTTTAACTTTGTGTGTGGAAGTGTTACAAAAAAAACGTAGTACCGAGGAAAAAAGCATATGCAAGCAAAATCTTATAGAGCAGAAAAAAATAGATCTTTTTTCTTCACATGACTTTTTTTCAACTCTGCAGCTTTTGAAGCTAACTTTCAGATCTTTTCACTCTCTCTCCTCTCTCTCTAGCAACTTCATTTTTTTTGTCTTTAATTTTCAAATTTTATTATTTTCTTTATTAATGTGCAGGGAAATTTATATTCTACTGCCTCCTCAACTGCTTACATATCACAAATCCAAAACCCAAATCAAATCCCACCATTGTTTTTATCTCAATCCAATAAACCACTCTGAAAAAAAAACTCTCAGCTTAAAGCATTTATCTCTCAGTCTCTGCTTCCCATCCAAAGTTCTTATCTTTGTGGGAAAACAAAGCTTTTGAAGTGAGACAAAAACTAAAGAAAGAGAGAAAAAAATGGGTTGCTTACATTCCAAAACAGCTAATCTACCTTCTTCTGATGATCCATCAGCTCCAACCAAACCAGAATCAGGTACTCATCTCTAAGCTTCCAAGTACTCACAGTTCCTCTTTTGCTCCCTGCTAAATCTGCAGATTTGGTTCTGTCTTTATGCTTGTTTTTAAAATGGGTTTGTGGGTTTAGATGTTTGTTAAGGCTTAAAGTAGAGACAAAAGTTGGAAAGTCTCACCTTTTTGGAACTAAACTCTTGTTTAGACTAATTGCCTTTTTTGGGTTGTGTTTTAAACAGTGAATGGGGACCAAGTGGAACAAGAGAACCAAAATTTTAAAGAGTTTGATCTGAATGAGCTGAGGAAAGCAACCAATGGGTTTAGCCCTAGCTGCATTGTCTCTGAAGGTGGAGAGAAAGCTCCCAATGTGGTTTACAGAGGGAAGCTTGAAGGAAACCATCTTGTGGCCATCAAGCGATTCTCTAGGCAGTCTTGGCCTGATGCTCAGCAATTTGTGGTAAGAAAATCTCAGGATATGTTGTTTTGTAACTTGTTTGTCGATTCATTGACCCTTATTTAGGATCTTATACACTAACTTATCATTGTTGAGGCAAAGCTCAACGATGACTAGTGAAAGCAATGGCCATTAGTTACTAAAGGGGATAAAGACATCATCTTTTTGTAAGAGAATATGATTCCCTGTGTCTGCTTGCGGTTAAAGTTTGAGAAAAGCTAGTAACTTTGGGTGCAAAGCTTCTTTTAAATCCTATGATCCCACTATACTTTTTTAAAAGTTATTTAGCATAGAAACATTGCTGGAAGCTTACTTTGGCAAGACTTGAACACCGTTATTGTGTTGACTTTGGTTGACTTGTGAAATCAGGTGGAAGCAACTGGTGTTGGGAAGCTTAGAAACAAGAGATTAGTTAGTTTGATTGGTTGTTGCGCAGAAGGAGATGAGAGACTGTTGGTAGCAGAGTATATGCCTAATGATACTCTCTCAAAGCATCTCTTTCACTGTAAGAGCTTTATCTTTCTTTATGTTATAAGTAATCTTCTTTAGATTCTTTAACTATCTACTTTATGTCTTTGTTTTGCAGGGGAAAAGCAGCCACTTCCATGGGAAATGCGTGTTCGAATTGCTGACTATATTGCACAAGCACTTGATCACTGCTACAACGAAAACAGAAAGATCTATCATGACCTGAATGCATACAGAATCCTCTTTGACGAGGAAGG